AGTGGGGGTGTGGGTTCGGGCTCTGGGGCCCCGTCTCCTCCTTCCCTCACCTTCAGTTTCAGCACAATTCACTGGATCCCCATCCTGCTGCTTGCATCCAGCACAAGCGCTGCAGCCTCATTGGCATTCCCAGCACACGGCAGCCGCGGGGAGTGGGCGCCTGAGGCTGTGCTGGGCTCCGGGAGCTGCCGAGAGCGGGGAAGGAGGAACCCAAACCCGGGTTCCGGTCGGTGCTGGATCAGCTGCACGGGGCAGGGCAGCGGCTGCAGCTCCCTGCGCAGGCACAAGGGTGGGCATCGCGCCGGGGCCGTGCCGGCGCCTCGTGCACTCGGTGATGCCTCATCTCCATCACTGGGATGTGCTCAGCTCCGTTGGTTGATCCAGGAGGTTCCTGCAGCATCGCCAGGGCTCTGGTGTGAGGAGCCGGATCAGCCGGTGGGGGGGGATCAGTGCCATGTCCTCTGGGGAGCCAAAAGGGGTGGGAAACCACCAGGATCAGGCAACTTGGAGCTCTCTGCGGTGCCAGCCCGGCTGAGTGCTGCTGTGCATGCCCCAGCCCCAGGGATCGCATCGAATGCCACACACACTGGGTCAGCTCTGAACCCCAGACACAGACACGTACCCACCAAAGCACAGGGGGACACAGCTCTACAGGGACAGGGTCCTTCCCGCACAGGGATGAGTATGGCCATCAGCCCCAGGACCCCACGGGGCTGTCACCCAGTGGCTGATCCTGGGTCCCTCCCAAAGACACCTTTGTCACCAGAAGGGTGACCAGTAGCCATAGCTCCCCCCAAGAGCAGCTCATTCCTCACACTCCTGCTCAGGGTCAGGCTGCTCCTGTCCCCACATCCTCTCATCCCACCAATACGTGGAAGGAACTCAGCTGTGGGAGGGCTGGTCTGGTCTCAGGATCGGGTGGGAAGGAGATGCACCCACACCCAGCGTGATGGGACCACTAGGGCAGCAAAATGGTCCTCAAATGACACTGGTCCAGGTTCACAGGCCCCATACCTGTGGCTGCTGCTGGGACACCCAGGACATGGTGGAGGCAACCAAACCCCAGCCCTCTGTGCCCCGGCTGTGGCCTCTGCCCCACACCGGCTGCTTCACCCATGTCCTGTGCCACAGCTTGGCCTCGTGCTGCAGACCCTGAGCCCCCTGGGACCCCGCTCTGCAGCAGGGAGAGGGCAGGGGCACAATCGGGGAGCAGCGATGCCCACGTCCGTGCATGCTGAGGGCAGGGCACCAGCAGCGATGCTCCAAGACATGAGCCAGGCAGGGACGATGCCAGGATGCAGCCGAGCAGGGAGTGGCAGGGACAGGCAGGGATGATGGGATGTCACCTACCTGCTGCGCCGGCAGGAGGGCACGGAGCGGAGCGAGCCCCTGCTCTCCACGTGCTCTGTGCCTGCTCGAGGCCAGCCAGGACCTGGCTCATCAGTGGAGGTGACAGTGGGCGGCCGGCAGCAGCACGCTCAGGAGCTCCGCTTCCCTCTCGGCTCCATGCGTGGCTCCGGCACTGCCGTGTCCTGTCCTTGCGGCACAGAGCGGTGCCATGGGGCCAAACGCCACGAGATCCCGGGAGGAGGGCACAGCCGAGACCCACCAGGCATCTCTGCCTCCATGCTTGAGGATGCTGTGCTCTGCAGGGATTCCCAGCTCTCCTATGAGGCCATCCAGGCACACAGGGGTCCCAAGCACCAGGGGATGCCCAAGCATCCTGTCCCCAGAGCAGCCCCCAGGCACAGGGGAGGTTATCCAATGGATACGTGAACCAGTCGTGTTTTCATACACCCCAATGTGCCCAAACGAGAGCAGGAGCAAAGGAGGACCCAGAGGGTTTGAACCCAGCCCACAGGGGTGTCCCCAAGCCCCAGGCAGCAGCTGAAGGGCAGGTACCCCCCTGCTCCCCCTCACCTTCACATGGCTCATGCCCTGCGCATGGGGCCAGCCGAGATGCTGCCACAGATGTGTTCAGAGCAATTCAAGCTCCAGAAGCCCAGGAGGAGCGAAGGGCTCAGCACAGAGGGATCACCGGTGTGATCCCAGGGAAGGGGCGGTGCCAGCAGCAATGCCAGTGTGCCAAGCCCCACTGTGCACTGCGCTGGCAGGGACACGTCCCCCTACACCCGGTTGCTCCAAATCCTGTCCACCCTGGCCTTGAAATAGCAGGACCCCCTTCTCCTGCCCCACCGAGGCCACACACGGGTCTGTCCAGCGAGAGACCCCCCTCACCACTCCACTGCATCCCCAGCCACGTCCTGCTCCTCCTGCCCACACCTCCCATGGATGGCTCAGGCCCACGGATCTGCTGCAGCCCAAAGGACCACTGCGTGCAATTCAAGCGTGCATCCAGCTCATTACCGATACCAACGCAGGCTTCCAGCGGAGCTCTGCCGAGCGCAGCAGAGCCAAACGCTTTGTGTCCATCAGCTCTGTCAAAGAGGAGCAGCCGGATTTGTCCGAGCACAACCCCAAAGCCCAGCACCCCCCCCCGGGCTGCAGCCCCGCTCACCCTCACCACCACCAGCTCCGCAGCCGTGTCCCAGGGGATCCAATTACCCGCAGAGCAAACCCCGGGGCACCCGGCTGACGGCAACCATGAGCGCAAGACCTGCACTGATCATTAAAGGAACTGCAATAGGGCCCGGGGACAGGGCCGTGGCGCTCCCAGTGCAGGACTGCTCACACGCTGCAGGGGATGCAGGGCTCAGCGATGGGAAAGCCCAGACCCTTCCAACCTGCAGCTTCCCTTCAGCCTTCCCCAGCTGCCCAGGCCCTCCCAGGCACAGACGCATGCGGAAGGGCCCCATTGTCAAAGAAAGATCCCAAACACAACCCTGGCCCCTCCTGGATGCCGAATGGAGCGCAGGGTTTCACGTGCTCAGTCTGGGGCTGTCCCACTGCCATGCCGGGGGCATGGTGGGCAGATCCCAACATCCCCGTGGAGCATCCCTGCTTTGCTCCATCCCAAACTGCGGGTGGCAAAGCATCAGCAGTAGGTGGAAAGAGGCAGCTCTTGAGGGCTGGTACACCCAGCTCCAGAGAAGAGTTGGATGCTGTCTAACTGGGATTAGAAACAAAGGAAAAGAGAAGAAAAGCCCAGCCCAGCATCACATTAACCACTGTGGGACTGGGGAGGCCGAGTCCATCCTCCTGAGCTTCACTGTGTGCTCTTGGAGTTCATCACTGCTGAACCTGGGCAGGGTCTGGCTGCGCTGCCCGTCGCTGCAGTGGCTGTGGGTGACAGGGATGCTCCCGAGCACGCAGAGCCCCAGAGCTCCCACTACCGAGCGCTGCTCCCGTTTGGATTAGGGAAGCTCCTTCCCCCTGCATCCATGCCCTCCCCCAGCAGGACTCCCCAGAGCCCCCGGCCTTGATTAGCTCTTCCTTCTAATTAGCTGCATCCGGAGGTGCTGCCTCCCTCAACCTTGGGCTGCCTTCACTTCCTCTGCCTGACCCCACAGGCAGCGGCTGCCTCCCCTGACAGGGCTGTGCCCGCAGGTCCCTCCTCATCAGCAAGCAAGGCTGCAACTGCTGCAGCCCTGGAAGGTACCAGGGTTACCAAGGTGCCTCCATTCCCCCCTTCCACAACACCCAGTATTTGGTCACTGATGATGAGCAAGGTTGGCTGCTGCCTGTCTGACCCCTCAGTGCGGAGACTGCTACACAGACAGGATGGGATTGCACCCAACACCTTTTGCTGCTGAAGCAAGCCTGAAGGGTGCTAAAGAGCAGACAGTGGCGCCTTGGCTGTGGTGACTTACCCGTAGGTGACATGGCACAGGGACCGAGAGGCACTGTGGTTCTGTGATTTCTTCCTCAGTGACTCTGCCAGTCACATACTCAAGGTACCTGTTTCATCCTTTGTTTTGGGGCACATGAGATGCCCATCGCACTTGTCTCCATCACCTGTAAGGAAGGAACCCCCACATGTCCTACAGCATCTCTAACCCCACTTCCTTCACAATCCAACCAACGTGAACCCTTTGTGATCACTCCTACAAAACCAGCTTTGAATCAGAAAAAGCCATTGGCAGAAGCTGTCCAGAATCCAGCTCCAGACAACCCAGCTCCCCAAGCCTGGCTGAGCCCTGGACCTGCTGGTGCTCCCCTGCCCTCTGCACAGCACCGAGGAAAGGAAAATACCAGGAACACTTCTACTTGAACCACAAACATCTTGATCAGCATCACAAGAGACAGCAGAGCACAGCGTGTGTGTAAATGTTTGCTGGGAGCAACAGCAGCTTTCTGAGCGAGCTGAACACTGCTGAGATGCTGGAAATAAGCAGAAGTCAGCCTCCGAAGGACAAACCAGACTGGTTTGGGTTGGAAGAGACCTTAGGGACCACCTGGTTCCAAACCTGCCACGGGCAGGGACGCCTTCCACTAGACCAGGCTGCTTCCGCAGCCCCCATTTGCACTGGAGATGCTCATCCGCTCTGCAGGCTGCTGCCACATCAGACTAGGAACAAGCAGACAACCACGCACCCACTCCTGATGGCTTCATTTATAGAGCACCTTAGGGTAGATTTCTACGTTTACTATTTCATTCTCTGATCCTCCCCCTCTCCAAGATGTTTCTGATGACTGCCAGGTATTTGCGGACTTACTGCTCGATACCAGGAGCAAACTGCAGTCACCTTTGCTGCACACTGGCTTACACACCATGAAGAACTCCAGCCAGCGCGACAAGGTGAGGTGAGGGTCTGAAGTAACAGCAGTTACCATTTAAACTACAGTCTGGGACCACGCATACCGTGTGCAAGAGAGCTCCAAGCCTGCCTGGCGCACAGAAACAGTGCACCCTCGGGCAGCACCTCCCTGTACCACCTCAGACCACAGGAGCCAGCATCCTACCACCCACTTCAGAGCCAAACCCGCGGGTACGCCGCGGTTCACCGCCAGCCACCAGCAAAGCCTTCCTCAGAGCAATCCCTGCCGCTGCTCTCTCCCTGCCCGTGCCCAGCTCTCACTGCGAGTCTCATCACAGGGGATAGTTTACTGAAAACCTTTTATTGTAATCAAAAAGTGACAGAACAGGGCTGCGATGCTCTCTGCAAACCATCCCGCCGGGCCCGGGCCCGGGCCCCTCCGCCCGGCGATAAAACCCAACCCAGATGTGAAAGTCTTCACAGCACAGGGAACTCGCCCAAAGCAACCGCCAGTGGTGAAAAAGAAGATGCCCCAGCAAAACCTTTCATGTTACATGGTCACAACTCACAATTCTGTACAAAATGTTCACTTTTTATAAAGCTCTGATGTAAAAATCAAATAATCAAGCAGCAATAGTTTAAGTGCAGCACAGGGTCTTCCATGTCATTATTTACAACGCTTGAATTCGTTTACATTTTAACAAAATTTAATACAGATGACTTAGGAATTAAGTCATTTTTTTATCATCTGTCATTCTATGTCGTGACAGATTTCACTTTTTGGTCATCTTTCTCTTTATCTTTGCTCTTCTTCGATTTCTTCTTCTTGTGTTTGTGTTTTTGGCTCTTTTCCAATTCGGTTTCGTTGCCGAGGTGTTTCTTATGCTTCTTGTGTTTCTTATGCTTCTTGTGCTTCTTCTTCTCTTTCTTCTTCTTCTTCTTCTTGCTGTCCTGGCTCTCCCCGGAGCTGGCACTGCTGCTGTGGCTCCGAGTCTGACTCTCGGACGGGCTGTGGCTGCGGCTGCGGCTGACGCTGGGGCTGCTCTGACTTTGACTCCTGCTGGCTTCAGGCTGCTCAGCTGCGGGAGGAGCGGCCGCATCCTCCTTCACCTTCTCAACAGCCTTTTCTTTGGGCTCTTTTGGGTTCTTCACTGCAGCTTCCTCCTCTTTAGCAGACACGTTACTCTCACTGTCACTCTCGTTGTAGTCCGGGACGAACGCCGCCTCGTCAGTCTCTCGGGTCAGATCAGAGGAGAGCCGTGAGGAGCTGCTGACCTGAGGCTTGGGCTTGACAACGCCTTTATCGTTCTGTCCAGCCACGTTCTCTTTCTCATTCTTTGCCTCAGGTGATTCTTGTTTCACAGGTGGTTTGGTAACACTTGGCTCTTTATTGCTCTTTATTTCTGGGACGTGCTTCTCTTTCTCCTTCTCTTTCTCCTTTTCCTTTTCCTTTTCTTTCTCCTTTTCTTTTTCTTTCTCCTTTTCTTTTTCCTTTTCCTTTTCTTTTTCTTTCTCTTTCTCCTTTTCCTTTTCCTTTTCTTTTTCCTTTTCTTTTTCTTTTTCCTTTTCCTTTTCTTTTTCCTTTTCCTTCTCTTTCTCCTTCTCTTTCACTGAATTTTTATCCAGAGGTTTGTGTTCCTCTGATGTACGCTTGGACTCATGAGCAGCTTTGTGTTCAGACTGCTTCCGCTCACGTGAGGGACTGTAGCTGCTCCTTTTGGCCTCTCCAGTGCCCTTTTTGGACGGCTCTGCTCGCTCCTCTCTCGGTTTACTCTTCTGCGTGGATGCAGAGTCTCTGTTTCGAGAGGGGGAGTCTTTTCTCCTCGCTAGTTCACTCTTTTCATCTCTGCGTTTGGAACTAGAATGATCTCTGCTGCTATCATGCTCAGATTTCTTGTCTCGGTTGGGAGTGAAGTCCTTGGCAGTGGATCCACGGCCAGGATCGTGCTTCTCAGATCTGCCCTCCTTGGAAGACTGAGAAGTGGTTTTTCCATTTCCTTGCTCAGCTGCACGCTCCGAGTGGTCTTTTTCTGGCTGAGCACTGCTCTTTCTCTTCTCCAAAGTGTCCTTGTCTGACAACGAATGATCCCGCTCTTTGGCTTTGCCTTTTTCGCTCGACACAGAACTTTTTGAGCTCTTGGCATCATGCTGGGAGCTTTCATAACTCGCCTCTTTTGTAGATTTCTGTGCTTTCTCCAAAGGCTCTGTCTCTTTTTCACTGTGTTTTATGGGGTTTGCTGGCTTAGCACTCACATTTTTTATAACACTAGCAGGTTTTCCTATGCTTGTGGGCACCTGGGTAGATTTAATGTCTTCCTCTTCAGACTCAAAGTCATCTTTATCCCACTTTGACTGAGGGACCTGGATCATAATAATGACATCTTCAGCAGGGGCTGTTATATCATTATTATACTCCTCCATGGTCTTAATGACAGTTCGTTTGGTATCTGTCTTTTCTTCAGGCTTTCTGACGGGGCTTCCTCCAGTGGAACTAGTGCTAAGAGGAAAAAAGCAGGTATTAGTAACGGGTGAGATACACACACCACCATCTATGTGGCACTGTACACACAGCTTTTGTTTGAGCTCTCAATCTTCAGCATCTTTCCAAAAGACGTTCTATAAAACATCTCAGTGAGTGAGGATCTTGGTGAATCCACTGGCTAAGAGTATGAGCAATCAGGTCATTCAGCATCCTGCCCCTATGCATCTAATTAACAAAGACACAAGATCATCAGCTGGGGGGACTGTCTGATCTGGTAATTCCTTCATGTCCTATTTCTACCAAAGGCAGATAAATCAGATCTTCATTCTTGTTTCAATATCTAATTAAGCAATTATGGAGAGGTGACTATAGAGAACCAAAGCTCTGTCCTCATGCTCCAGTGCTCTTTACAGGACCTTGAAATGTTTAAAATGCACAATACTGCCTGGCACAGACACATCTGTTTTCCTTGCCTTTTGAAATAAGCTGGGCTTGAAGGAAAACAGAGGGGACACCTCAGTCAACATGTGATGAATAAGAGGGGGAAAGAAAGTCCTAGAAGTCAGGGTCAAACACATCCCCAATGAATTAACCTTACCAGCTTTCCACTTCTTCAATAAAACTTGATTTTGATCCAAGAATAGCTTGAGAGGAAGGATTATTAACTCATTCAGCATGGATTTAGCTGTTAGTTCAGTAGTCACTGTACACAACCATGCACATTTTGGGAGCGGAGGAAGAAAGAAAGAATAGGAAAAGGAACACAGAAGTACCTGGTGTAGTCTACAAGAGTAGAACTAGATGCATCAGCTGCTGTTACTTTTCTCCTCACTTTCCCCTTGGTTTTCTCTTGTTTCACTTTGCTGCTGCTCGGCTCAGGTTTCTCCACAGGCTCTTTTGCAGGTGGCACATTCTCTCCACTCACAATCTTCTTCCCGGTTTCTCGGTTCAGTTTAATCTTTTTGGCAGGGTTGTTGAGAAAAGCAGATTTGTCCTTGTCTGGAGTTTTCTCTCCTTTCTCACCATCGGGCTCGGCCTTCCCCTTTGGCGACGTTTTCGATTCTGCAGTTTCTGGTTTTGAGGCCTTTGTGGAAGCGGCTTCATGCTCTTTATCAACCTTTTCCTCTGCTTTTCTTTTTCTTTTTTCAGGTTTTGCATCAGAGGGTTTGCCTTTTTCTGCAGGTTTTTTTGTCTTCTCCTCTTTGGTGGAGGGCTTCTCCGACTTGGCTTCTTTTGGATGGTCTTTCTTTGCCTTCTCCTCCTTGGCTGGTCTGGTTTCTGGGTGATCTTTTGCCCCTTTAGGGTGAACTTTCCGTGGGGTACCAAGAGCCTTCTCGTCCTTTTGAGAGGAAGATGCTTTAACACTGTCTGTCTTTGGCAACTCCTCCTTCACCTTCTTCACGGGAGGCTCTGTTCGAGGAGATTTTTCCCGGTCAGGGTCCACCTTCTCTTGGGAAGCTTTGCCTGGCTTCGCTGCGCTGTCCTTCTTAGGAGGAACGGCCGCATCTGCTTTCCGCTTTGTCTTGTCAGTCTTTGCTTTCGGTTTATCCTTCTCTTTTTTCTCCTTTTCAGACACAGGTTTGAAAGCAATGGAATCCGCTTCCATGGGCTCATCTCTCACAGGAGTGGCATCGTCTCTGCTTGGAAGTATGAACAGGGAATCTGTTTTAACATCTTCTGTTGCAACTGCCTCTCTTGGTTTTCTTGTACTTTCCAACATCTCAGTACTAGCAAATCCTTCATTCTCATCTCCTTTCCTTCTCTTCCGGTGTTTTTTATGCTTATTTCCCTTGCCATCTCCCAGTGGATTTTCTACCTCCTTCTCTTTTGATTTTGTAGGATCTTTGACACCATGGCTCTCTCTTCCAGAGGGTTTTTCGGGATAATTTCCAGCTATACTACGATTGCGGTGGCTCTGCCCACCAGGATAATCCTCCCTACGCCCCCGAGCATAGGGAGAGTTCTCCCTCCTGGTCCCGGGGGCACCAAACCTCTCTGGAGAAAAGTTTTCCCTGCTGACAGGAGGCCGAGGTTGAGCACCAACAGCGTAGCCCTTGTAAAACTTCTCGTACCACTCTCTGTAGTTCCTTTCCCATTCTCTGTATCTTTCCTTCTCAAACGGGTCTCTGAAGTCCACAGATCTGCCATAATACGCTTTCATATCGTATGGTGGAACTTCTCTGTATCTGTTAAAATACTCCCTTTCTCCCTCCCCCTGAGGTACAGTTCGTTTAGTGGGAGACTGGCCTCGAAACACTGGAGACCTCGATCGTGAGTGGTACCTTCTGTACGGGGGTGACCTTGACCTGGAGCGGTGGTACCCGTGAGACCGGGATCGAGACCGATAGTTCCGACTCTTCCCTTTGCCCCTCCTCTGGTACGGTGGGGATCGCGAGTAGGAACGAGAGTGAGAACGGCTGAACGAGCGGGAGTAGGAGCGAGAGCGGGAAGAACCTGATCTTGACTTGGAGTAGGTGTAGGAGCTCCTAGAGTAAGATGAAGCACTATAGGGAGACTTGGACCTTAAAAGAAAACACAACACAAGAAAATAAATGAAGTTAATTCAAACCAGTTGTGCTCCCCTGGTTTTTATTTCCCAAATTTGGTCTGGTTTTTTTCTCTTCAAATGCTTATGTCAAAGCTTCTTTCAGCTGCTGACATAATGCTACTGCAAACTGAAAAACTTGATAACATGTAAAGTTTCTGCTTACAAGACAGAACAGCTGCTGCTTTGTTAGTGTAAAACATACAGGAAGGGTAAGTCTATTTCCACTCACTTCTATCACAGGAGCTACCAGCACTAGGGATTGATTTAAGGTGGTGTGTACTGGCCTCTACTGGTATGCGAACACGCACATTTTCCACTACTCGGCTACTACATGCAATGCAAATCATTTTTGCTGCAGTAAAATGCAAAAAGAGCAAGTCTTAATGGCTACAGTGCAGTATCAAACACCCAGAAAACACAGTTTAGCCTGCAGACAGCAAAGCTCAGTGTTAAAGGCCAGCTCAGTCTGTTCAACCTCACTGCTTACTTGTCAGTTAGTGCTGCGATCTTACATACAGGACTACTTAATCCACACCTCCAGCCAGATCTCTTGGAGACTTTTGCACATCTCCCACTCTAACCGAGGTTAGTGACCACACTGCAAGAAAAATCCTATCTAAAAGCTTCTAAACTCAGCCTCTAGCAACATGACTCAGTGCCTAGGAAAGATACTGACAGCATTAATAATGGAGAGCTATTCAGACTCCTGCCCAAGTCACTCTGGAGACAGAACACATCAGCTGCCCTCAGTGTTTCCATCACAAGTTTTTCTTTATATTTCTTAAGAGTCATTTCACATCATTCCACATTTGTTCATTATCATCATTCCTCATCTCCAAGTCCTTCACCAAGATTTCTCTATAAGCATGTCTGATCTTTTAAATCCAAAGAAAAATTTAACATTGTCAACAAACCACCAGCCTGCAGTCCAGGTTAACATCTCTCCGGGTTGCCACATGAGATAAACAGAGGAAATGAAGACAATTTCTCTCACTTATCTCCTCCAAAGTGCTTTGAGGTAATGGTTATAATCAGAGTAGGGAGACGCAGAGAATCCAGTCATTATCCCTGTCCAGTCTCTGGCCTCCTCACGCTGTCCGGAGGGCAAGGATGTCACTGCAGAGACACTGTATAAGAGAGCCCTGCTCCTTGACAGCTACTGCTCAATTCTAACTATCAGTCCACTAATCACTGCCGTAACCTAGTAAGCTAAGCGAGCTAGTAACCTGCACATGGAACTCCTATCCCTGCTAATCCCCTGAATCATCCAATCCATCTAACGACAGAGGTGGAGTGAACTCCTCCTGATTCTTCTAGACAATCTGCTTCTCCATTACGGACATGTAAAGCAGTTACCTGGAAAACGAACGCCTACGCTCCTTTTGAATCTTTTTATATTCCATCAATTCCTTAGCAAAATCATTTGTAAACTCATCAAGTTTGGACTTTTTCTTTTCCCTGTTAAAATAAGTTTGACCTTTATTACAATTATAGTTTGACCTTTATTACAAAAAGACATCAAGAAACAAAACATGGCCAATATGAGAAAATGTATACTGCATGCAACGCAACAGGTGAACATCCTATTTAAGCAAAAACAGTTGAGAATTCCTACACGTTTTAGGGAAAGTTTTAGAATTACATTTGTCTGGTTTAGCTTTGCATGTTTACCATCTGCAATGGAAAAGTATACTGGAAGAAACACTATGTCATTTTTGCTTATCTCAGATGCACTTTAGTGTAACTGTGGTCTGATACACTACCGAAATACAACGAGAAAAAGCAATGCAACATCAGCGAGCCAAATACTTACTCCTCTTTAAGTCTCCGTTGCTCTCTGTAAAACTCCTCCCTAGATAAGGGAGGTGCTTGTGTCGTTGGAATGGTATTGGAATGAGCCGTTGGTACTGCTGTTGGTACCCATGCTGATGACATGTTTGCAGGAGCTGGGGGATATCCTGGAGGGGGGACAGTGTACCCAGCGGATGGAGGCTGCCCAGGTGGAAACTGAGGAGGAAACTGTGGTGGTGGTACCCCAGGAGGAAGAGGAAGTGCATGTGGTGGTGGAGGATACAAGGGAGGTGGAGGCACAGGCACAAAGACTGGTGCTGATGCTGGTAGTGATGGGGCCTGAGTCCTTTGGGCACGGTCACCATGCAGGCGTCCTCGATTTGAACTTCTAAAGAAATCCAAAAACTCATGTCACTGTTTGTCACACCCTGCCCTGGTTTCAAAGAGGAAAGCGAATGAAGCGGGAGCATGGTGGCGAGCACTTCTTGCTCTCAACTGATGCATTTGTCTCCCTGTTTTCTGTTCATTTGAGACCACAGCTATTTCTTGATCCTCATACTTGCCTTCCACATCCTCACCCCCAGCAGCTCCCTCAGTCTTCTCTCCTTACACTCAGCCTTCCGACTGGGGATGGTGCTGCCCATGCTTAAGAGGCTCCCATCTCCCACGCACCCAGTGCCCACTGCTCCTCTGGCACTCCTTGAGGCACTTCACACTTCTGATCTTCACAGTACTGCACAAACATAAACTGATCTTCTCTCAAACTTCTTCTAACTTGTCCCACCTACGCTTCCTACAGTGTTGCCTCGTGGTGATGAATTTGGCCTGTTCTTGTACCTGAACTCTTATTTTCTTGTTTACTAAATATGAGATTTTAGGCAATCTGTGGAATGGATCCTGGGTTTTGTTCGGATTGATCTTAAGACTCTATAAATGCAACGCACCCTTACAATCCATCTGTAACATTATATATATGTATGCACACCAAAAGGACTAACTTGACACTGCGATAGCATATAGTACAGATCCCCCTCTCTGCAACTGAGAGGGGACAGCCTGGCTGTTTGAGATGACTAAATCAGAGAAATTGAAAACACTGTTGATTCTTCCAATCATTTGCTCAGTCAGCATCAACTAAGTTGCTGAAGAATGTTGGAGGCTGATTTCTATTAGGCTATCAATTTCTTCAGCCCTATTCAGCCAGTGATCAAACAGGTGGCCTTCCATTGATCTTTACATTAGACTTGATTTTTATATGCAATTATGGTTTCCTCAAAGAGAGTTCATTTTTCAGAGTCCTCTCTTCAATTATGGACTGGAGTTTCATGTTACATGACCTTTCTGCACGCACAGATCCCCTTTGTTAAAGGTAATTCAAATTAAGCCATTGAAAAATTAATTACCACTTGTATTCTGCACAGCTCTGTGTGTGTAGTTTCATTATAAATCAGCAGATGTGTAACACATGTACCATGTGTTACATGGTACAGCCTAATTTAACAGCTTACAAGTAGTAGCAATATATAGAATTTGTGTAGGACACTTACAGTTCCCAGCCTGGTCTGCCGCCTGCTGAGCGAATGGCTCCAGCTCTCATGGGATGACCTTTGGGAGTGGAAAGAAGAAAAAGAAAAACCTCTCAACCATTCAGTTTATCTAAATATGGTATTTCAGAAGAAATTCTGAAGTTATCGTTACTTACCAGTTGTGGGTATGGATTGTCCTTGAGGGCCCAGAAGACTTGGTAATGCTGGCTGTCTTAGTACAGGAACCTGATAGCCCTTGGAAAGAAAAGCAAACAGCTAGGAAATGAGCTCTACTGAAGCCCAACAACCACTGCTTATGTTGAAATAAAATTTACCTTCTCTTCCAACAGACTGGTGATTGACAGGGGGGAAGATTTAGAAAGCTCAGCAGCAGTCACCAGAGCAGCAGGAGGTATAACAGTATCATCACTACAAAACAACAGATTAGGTTATTCAAACAGTGTTTTGAAGTGCTACTGGAAATACAAAGCCCAGGTGAGGAAAGGCTGGCTGCTGTAAATAGAGAAAAAAGTAAAATATAATCTTCCCCAGATTGACAAATGTGAGGTTGGCAGATTCCAAAGGAAGCACTGACAAGAGATCAGTCTGGGCTCCTGGTATTCAAAGAGCTCACTCAAAAAACGTCTTATAAAGCAGGCTGCACATGAACGGATCAGAGTTTTGGAAGATGCAGGAACTGAAATGCTATTAGGAAATGTGCATGTGCTAGTTCAGAGGCTGCCTTAGAGGTCCTGCTGAACTGTGACCCTCAGTGCTGAGCTGAGCCTGGCAGTCTTGTAGACAGAGCAGCTATTTGCATACAGGGCATAAAGCTGGAAGGATGTAAGCCCTGAACTATAGCCCAGATCTTTAATGCATTTTCATGACTTCACTGGGTTGCAAAATTAGACTGTCGTGTTTACAAATACGTCAAATCTATAGTGTTTCAGTTTCATTATGCATCACTGACTACACTCTGTATGACTAAGGATGACTCTAACTTATCCTATTAGTGATTCTTTAATTGTGTTTAATTTTTATATGTACAAAAAGTTTTCTGAAAAGCATCCTCAATTTTAGTCTTCCTGCTTTTATCACTACCAGAGTTTTAGTTGAAAGAAATTGATGCACTGCAAGGTTTGGCATAACTCCTTATAGCCAATTGCTAGCCATTTAAAAATCAGTTACCAATTGTATTCCCCGCAGCTCTCTGTGCACGCTTATTTGATTATCGATCAGCTGTTGTGTAAGTCATACCTTACAGCCTAGGTTGCAAGTAGTTATATACTGAATTTCTATAGCGTACTTACAGTCCACAGCTTGTTCTGGCACCTGGTAAAAACAAAAGAAAGAACTGCCCACAGGACCTTTTGGAGAGGGGATTACACACAAATCACTGGCTGAGAAAAAAAGCCCATTCAGCTTATCTGAAGGTAATTTTTTTAACAGAAGCTCTAAAGCTGTCATTACTTACCAGTTGTGGGTACTGATTGCCCTTGGCAGCCCAGAAGACTTGGTAGTGCTAGTTGTCTTCGTACAGGAACTTGACAGCCCTTGTGAATAAATGCAAACAGCTGGAAAACAAGCTCTACTGAAATCCTGGAGTCACTGCACATGTGGAAATAAAGCTTACCTTCTCTTCCAACAACCTGCTGATTGACAGAGAGGAAGATTGAGGCAGTTCAGCGGCAGTCACCAAAGCAGCAGGAGGGATACCTGGCGTGAGTGGTGCTGGAGGTGGTGGCTCCGGCTGCTGCTGCTGAATCTGCTTACGGAGCCTTTTTGTGTAGCCAGCTCCATTTCTGAAGGTGTTCACAGCCTAGAGGCAGAGGAACATTTTATAAAGGTAATCTGAAACTTCAGCAGATACACCAACAAAACCTCCACGGAGTAAAATTACTTGCGTATTCCTGGAAATGCAATCCAAGGCATTCAACCACAGCTACATAAACACACCACATTAAACACTCATGTCAATCATGGTTAACTCAGGGTATCTGTATTTAAAATACTTCAGTGTTAACACCGAATTTGAAAGTGAGGTGACTGTGTTAAACAGAAGTGTGGCCTGAATTTGCCAGATGGTCTCTAAAGAGCTGTCAGAGATAAATGTGCTTGAAAAGTACATTTAGCCTTTTTCAATTTGGCCTTGCTTAAGGCTAAATTAACATTACAGTAATATTGTCTTCTCTCTCAGCTCCTTACAAGCTCTTTGTACGATTGATGTAAAAGTCATCACACTACCTGGCGTAGGCTCTGGTTGGCAACTAAAGCATCAGGAGAAACATCTGTCTGATGACACGCTGGGCATGTGTATTCCTCAGACTCCAGCAACGCCGTTCTAATACCTGTGCATAATTAGTATCATCACAATACAACAGTTTTCAGCCAAACTAAGGAAAGTTGTTGGGTCTAATCAAAACACGTATATGATTCATGGGTGAATGTGGTCTTGAGTGTACAGCATGAAGCTACAAATGTTCAAGAGTGTAAAAAATTTCTAGTACGCAGCAAATAGTTACACAGTTTTGACATTTCACTGTTGTAATATTTGAAGATGGAGTGTAGGCTGTGTCTTCATGATTCAACTCATCCTTTTTCCACTGTCCACTACAGCAAGAAGTCGTTGACCCCAAAGTTAATGAACAAAGTGCATCTCAAAAACAAGCGTTGGTAGGCCTGAGTTCTGAAGGTTTGAACCAGCTCTCCCGTGGAGAAGAATGCGGATTAAATGCCTAACTATCCGTCTGTTGCAGACCACAGTCAGTCACCAGAGATGGCTGTATAATTTTGTATGAGAGAAAGGGCTGTGGACAAATATTTGATAGCTAATACTGTAATCACCTGCACAGCTAGGCACTCCTCTGCATGTAAAGAGGATGTAACCGGATCTGTAGAAAGAGAAGCAAGTTTTCTGCCTTTTGGTTTTTGTTTTTTTACTTTATACGAGATGAGTCCTTTCCTAGTCAGGGTATACTTAGGTTTTCATTAGAACAGGTAACAAAGCAATTTTGTTATCTGCTGTTTTTGCTTTCAGAAGATCAGATGTGATGTTTTCAATTAACAACATGGGAATAACACTTACATTCGTCACAATAACTGCTTCCACAGCAGGGAAGAATAGCTGCATCAGTCATTATATCTTTACAAATGAGACATAACAGCTCATCCGGAGCAGGACCGTCAGAAGAGGAGGAGGATGGCTCCTTTGGTAAAAATGGAGGTCTTTCCCTCTTTCCTCTAGCATAAGCTTCCCTGAAGGGCGTGTGGGGAAGGAAAAAGAACAAATTTAAAGATGGGTAAAGGAATACTTTTCCAAGCCTTGCATTTTATCAAAAGAAGATACTAGACAGAATTCTTCTCACTCCACACTAGCCTTCTGAACTGTAGGCACTGACCTGAAACTACTTTCCTATAGCCGTAACTCTGTAAAATAAAAACTCGGAGGCGGATGAAATCTCAATCCAACAGCTATTGGTTAAATTTTTGTAAGAAACGTTTGAAACATAAACCAGAAGCAAAATGACCTCTCAAAGAGAACGAGTCCCCTGTCACCACTACTGAAGCTTTTTGCAGAAATACAGATCCTTGGTGCACCACAACCTGAACCAGCTTCCAGGGGCATGACAAATATGAATGACCACCCTCTTTTCAGATGAGCAAGTATCACAGGTTTTAAGGTTAAAATGCAATGACTGCACTTCCTCTCCCACAATTACAGATGCAGTCCAACTTGGTTGCATGGCCACTCAGATGTTTACGCATGCTTTCTCTCATTTGCTTTTTGGTCAGTCCAATTAATTCCATACTTACGCATTAATAATCGGTATTGCATATTTTCCAGTGTTTGTCAGCATTGCACCCTTTGTGTTGGGATCTTTCACCTCTATCATGAAACTCCTTGGAATTCCTGTGCTCCTCTTCAGTCTGGGAACAGACTCAACATTTTTGTCCTGTTAAGCAAAGAAATGCAGACATACCTCATCTTAAGACCTACACTTAAAATGACGGTTCAGTGATGACTGTAAGAAGCAAAAGCCTTTAAATCCTCTCCTTCTACCCAGCGTGAAGGTTGTTCAACTGAAACACTTCTTTTCCTAGGGTGTTCCTAAGTCACCTATCGTTCCTAAGCCACCTATCGTTCCTAAGAAGCTAAGAAGCTTCTCAGGGAAGTGGTGGAATCACTGTTCCCTGAAGTGTTCAAAAGAACACGTACGTGAGGCCCTTAGTGACATGATTCGTGATGGATTTGGCAGTCCTGAAGTATCAGTTGGACTTGATGCATCCCTTCCAACCTAGGTGGTTCTCTGATTCTGTGAAAGGCTTAAGCAGAGTTTTGATCTGAGTCGACATTCTTTGGCTTAACAACAGGTTTCTTAAGGGTGAAATATCCCTTACCTCATGATGCACTGGGAGAAGAGACACAAACCTGCCTCCCTCCCCCCCAGAAGCACAGTTCAGAGGGAAAGCTTAAGTCAGGGTCAGCCACTGGAGAAACATCTATTCACCAGCTATAGATGAAGCTTGAATTCATACCTCACGCGTGACCAATGTTAAAGGGCATGAACACTCAACCAGAGACTTGTGTCAGTAAAACACACAAATATTCAATAGATGGGGTCAACAGAAACATCTTGGTTTCGTACAAAATCCTGAAAACGTGAACCGTCATTAAAAAGAGTTAAAACAGAAACATTTCCAGGAATATTGAAATACACCAAAATATGCATGTAAATTCACAGACAAAAAGATCTATGGACTTATTTCAGGTCTGTGGCTTAGAAAAAAGAAAAAATTACATTTATAATCCCGGCTTTCCCTTGAACTTTGAAGGGCTTTTCAGCATTGCCACGTAACCTCTGTATTTCACCTCAAGAGAAACAGTTCTTAATACGATTATTCCTCTATTTGTTACTTGACTCCCAAGGTCAGAAATTAAACAAGGTCAGAAAGTAACACCGGAAGTCCCCAAAATCTTACCCCATTTCTTGGGCAGTCCTTTCTGTAGTGGCCAGGTTTTCCGCAGCAAAAGCAAACATATGATGGTGGAGGTGTACCCAAGGGCTTCTTCGTGTGACTAAAAAGGTTTCAGGAAGAAAAAGGTATGCATGTGTCTCTCCTGTTAAAACAAACATCTACACAATTTTTCCATAATCATCAAAGAACTGATTTGACATTATCAACACTTACTTGACTGGACCATATTCACGGAAAGACTGTATCATCATGGCTTTTATTTTATCTTCTTCAGAAGCATTGGCTTCAGCCAGGTTGGCAGTCTGTTTAACACGGAATTATTTGACACACACGTTAGAAACACAGGCAAGCTCACCCAGCCAAAGACAACACCGCTTGCTCACATAGACTTGTGTAACCGATCCACTTTTCTTCCAAGTGGATTCAGCCAAGTGGTGAGTAAAAGAAATGACACTAGCAGCAGTTTTCAACTGGTTTTGAAGCTCCAGCCCATTTGAAGGAGAAGACAGCTACTGTGCATTTAATTGAGAAAGATTTCTGCAAGTTATATTATTTACACTTTGCAGCACTAAAAAGAACACACAATGTTAGTGTCAGGCCTGTAGTTTTTGCTTGCTGAAATTCAGCATCAGACACAAAAGCACTGAAAGGAATCTTTCTGACCCCTCAGCAAGACACAAGGTTCTTTTCAGTAGAAATGTGACCATCGTGTCCTGTAGGCAATCCAAACTGCATTTCCCCCCCTACTCACTTCTTCCTACTGAGGGACTTAACTACAGAGAGCACAACCTGCAGGCTTTTCCAGGGGACTGTGTCCTTTTAATGGACATATTGTAATACCACCCATGTGCAGAACTAGATCTTGAAGCCAGCTGATTTTTCTGATGTTTTTATTACACACTAGTCCATACACAAGAAAGGTCTAAGGGAGTGACTGTAAATGATCTGGACCAAAATTCAACTATGGCATTTACTGCACTGTAATAATAAAACCAAAAATATTTCACAGCACACTGCCCCTGTGCTAAGCCAGCCTGAATAATGTGTTTCGAGTAAGTAACAGGTTTGAGCTGCTTTTATGTGTTGTTCATGCGTTTCTCAAAAGATTCAATGTGCGCACCACTTGGACAGTTTTTCGCATTTGAGAGTAAAACTTCACATGGGTTTACAGAACAAAGGACACATGCAGCGACAGCCAAAGGCACAAAATTTCATTTCTTCAGTGAGAGAGGGAAGATGCTGCCGGTGGGGAGCCCTCTCGTTCTTAGAAATGAACTCCTGCCTCTCTTCTTAGGAGAAAGAACTAGCTCCCATCTTTTTCATTTAATTGCCTACCATTACGCTTTTTCACAAAGGGCAGTCATTAGTGTCTTGCCAAAGTTACACAGTGTTGAGCCAAAAGAGCAAGCAGTTCCATCCCAAAACATGGCATTACAACAGTTCCAGAAGGTCACAGCTGCTAGTTTATGCCACACATACACATTGGTATATTCCTATGAACAATGAGGTACATTTACACAATTTACACAGTCTGCGTTCAAACAAATTAGATCGGGTTGTCCACTGTCTACTACAGCTTATGGAATTGTGCAGCATTCCAACAATGGCTCTGTAACTGGAATGACTAGGAATTCAGAAATAAGCCATGCAATTGTCCATGTTATTGTGGCTGTTGCAGCCCCCCTGCAATGTCCGGAACTTACAGCCAATTAAATTCTTCTGCAAAAATTGTGTTAGTTTCCAACGCAAAATAAACCAAAGGTATGAAAAACGGTAAAGAGCTTCTGAAGGGCTTCTTCTTTGTGTCTTGAGGATGAGTAACACTGCAACATTATGCTGAGGCTGATAAGGCACTCCCCTTCTATCTTCCCAAACTGGGAACTACTCTTTACAGGATAGTATCAAAATATACACACATTTTAAAGTTAAAATGAATACTTCAAATTATTAAGGATTAAGCTAAAGCTTTGTTCTGATTACAACAGTTATCCAGCTATAGAGCACAGTAGAGATTTAGAAATAAGAAACAAACACTTTTCTTTAAAGTATTTGACAAGAATATATATATATATATATACCTTAGTAAGCTGGGCCAGAGAAATAGATGCAGAAGAGTCATCAATCTGTTCACAAAAAATTAAACACATATTCAAGTTCTACAATCAAAACATGACAACAGTTAACCTCTACTGTAGTCTGAAAGGCTGCCCTACACCCACTGAGTGGTCCCTGAAGAGGCATTTCCAACCCAGTGTCAATTGTATTTGTTCAAAACAAAGTCCAAACATATGGCAGCTTAAGGGCTCCTATGTGGTTAATGATAAGGAACTAAAATAATCAAGCCCACCTGAGATGGACTTATTGCTCCAGAGTATCTCACAGAGGGACCCTCCCAAATGCTCACAGGGACTTAGGAGTCAAAGGGGGAAGGAAACTGTCAGTTTTCAGTTAAAAAGGGCTTAAAAGTATCACTGCAGGAAGCTTCAGCGGAGTTGTCAGTTAATCAGTTACAAATGCACATGGTTATGCTTTTATGAACCCAGAACAGCTGCTGTCAGAATGAAGCAAGAGCCCTGAACCATGAACTCTGCCTCTCCTGTCGGTAAGTTTAAAAATGCCAAACTCGGACCCCACCAAACCCAACTAAAACCACCGATCCAAAGCATCAGTCCTAACAGTACCCCACCACTTTGCCTAGAAGAAAACAACTGCTGAAACTGTATTTAAATAAATAAATGTGTTTATCATGACAGAGTAGCCTATAAAAACTGAGAGAGCTCCTTTTCATTGTATATTATTAGACCACACTATCCAAATTAACTTGGGAAGTGAGAATTTAGTATTTCCTTGCTACCCAACAGAACTCAGGACTAAATGAACAAAGGCAGAAAGTGCACACTCTTGATATTGAGAACACGGATTCAGAGCACAGACCTGTATTTTTCTCTCCAATGGAACTACACTGCTCCCTTCCAGCTACCTACAGCTACAGCTTGTAGGAATGAAGTCCCAGGCCACTAGTTGGGAATTGGCCACAGTGTTTGCTGAGCACTAAACACTGGAGCACTTTTTCCACAAGTAAAAAGGGACACTCTTCTCCCTGGTCCACTATGTTGAATGATATTATGCCACAAGCTGCAGTTAAGCTTAAGTCATTACCAGGAAGACACTCGAATCACTGCTTATTGTGTCTTAAGTTGTTCAAAACCACCGAATAAAATGTCACAATGAAAACTGAACAGCTCTCCTCACAAGGCCACTGAATTGGAGAAAGCTCCTGTCCTTCCCTACACTAGGTAAAAAAGAGCTGAAGGACCAGTTTTAGCAGACTGGGGAAAAAATACCTCAAGTCCATTAATCATTCCTTCTCTACACGTCTAGGAGAGCACATACAACATTATTGCATTACTAACTATAAGCTCTTAAACTGTGCATTTGGAGAGGAACATGCAGATCTGGAAAGAGAGACCTTCTTTCCATTGCAAGTCTTACCAAAGACAGACTGAACTGTCCTCCTTTTGAGAACATTTTGTACCTAGCTCTGTTAAAGGGAAGTCTGATCAAGGATACGGTAGCTTCACACTCCATACACCACTCTTTTTTACATGTGGGAAAACAGGCCCGTGTTCTCTCATGGCAAGCACAACCACTGCCATTCCATGGTTTTCCAGAAGGAAACAAGGGATTAGGGAAGCTCCCTGTTGGAGCCTGGTGTTAAGTGGTCTAGGATTGACCAGTAATCAAAACAGACCAGTTAGTAAACTGGGTTTTTTTAGGAAGCAGTTATTAGATGGCCTGCAGGCAACAGTCCAACTCATTAAAGGAGGCAGCAGCACTCCTTTCTACTCAGGAGATACCAAAACCAGCATAGATAATCAATGGACTATGTGGTATGTTTGCCCAAGAGCCACCTTCCAATGACCCTATGTTCCTGTGTCTATTCTCACCTTTAAATTTCTGCCAGTCCCTCCACTCAGTCCAGCATAAACAACATCTCCATGATACCTGCATACAACCCAGAGATAAAACTGCAGAAGAACTAGGGAGGGGACACAGGCAACCCCCCTCCCAAACCATACTCAACAGTCAGTGTACCAATTCCCATTCCACAGAAAGACTAAGCAGAAACTAATGCAAAGCAAGTGGGACAGGGGACAGAAAATGGGAGGAAAAGGCTGATCTCACTGCTGGAGTGCTACATTTAAATCACAGTGGTTTCCTAATCCCCATTAGTTTGGCTGAACTAAAAATCCAGCCAGGAAGGGTCACACTTGTGCCTGATGGCATTAAACCAGCAGGCAGGATGCTGCACTTCTGCAGCCTCTAAGGGCAAGCATCAACTGGAGATCCCTGCAATTCCTGAAATGGGAAGACTAAACTAAAAAGGATCCATCTTCTTGCTCTGACTGTATTAAGAGTAGGACAGCAGCACAACTTTGGGTGTAGAATGACAGCTAACCTAAGAGCAAGAAACAGAGTTTGGCTTCGTGCATTCTTAAAAAAAAAATAAAAATCTTAACTCATTTCCATTTTGCTGCTTTACCCTTCAACAAGAATTGGCAAGTTTTCCAGGGGTTTACTCCTGCCACACTAAGATTCAGGTTCTGCTTTCAAATACAGACAGAAATACGTGTATGAAAAACAAACCCCAAACCCCAATGAACAAACCCCCATGCTTCAGACCAGGCCCCGAGTTAGCTTTAACAGTGCTCAGTGCATCTCCACCACCAGAAGCACCTGAGACTGCAGTGCTTTTACAGTAAGAGACAGGACTTAAGAGTGATGTGAGGCTTCCACCCTCCCTATGCTACCCACAACCCAGTCCAGGTACAGCCAGAGCAAACAGAAGGGAATGGTTTGCTCTTTCATTCACTTCAATTATTTCTAACTAACACTAAGTCTTCCCTCCCACTCCATGATTTTCTCTTTTTTGATGTATCTATGTTAGCTTATGGTAAGATGCTACTTAGAAATGTAATACAGACATGCCAGGGAACACACAAGGCTAAAAGAACGTTAACTTTATTTATGAACATGTGATTTGTGTTTATACACATGCTAGTAAACAAAAAGAAAAGTAACTGTTTTCAAGAAATAAAAACCCATTGGAATTAGATCAAATCCTGTAAAAGTGGTTTACATAAATGCATTACATTAACTACTAGGGTCACTGGGCAAACTATCTCCAACTCGCAAGGAGAGGCATTCATGTCCAAAAAGGAATTTGAATCAATCAGCAATAGAATTACGGATGCAGATTTGGACTTGGTGGTTTTAGACCTACACACACAAGTTTTCAATTTGCAGTTGTTGGATGGCATTCCGTGAGAATCAGAGGCTGTATCCTTCACAGAACACAGACCCTGACTTCATCAATTTCTACATCAAAGTATCCTAAGAGCTTATCAAATGGTCAGATCCAATGATCCAGGGTTAGTGTAATGCCTCACACCAGTCTAGTGAAGGAAAAGCAGATATACTTGAAATAAAGATGAAAAATAAAAAGCACCAAGTCGTAACTTTTATACTGTAAGGACTATTTCAAAACGAGCATTTACACATCATATTTGACCCGAGAGGCAAATCAAGATCTAGACCATTAGCAGCCCAGTATTTCTGTGTGTTACTTATAGTTTAGCAGCAGACAACAGTGTTTTCAAACCTGAAAAATGCTGCCCCTTTTCCAAACGCAAACTCAAAGTGGTGGTATACTAAAGAAAGGCTTAACCTTTGGGAGACGAAAGCAGCACCCAACCCTGAAGTCACCCAGACCCAAAAATGTACTGCAGGCAGTGCAGAAAAACAGGGGTTTTTACCCAGCAATGCACCAGGCTCTGCCCTTGTGCCAAAATTTGTTTTAGGTATTTTCATTTGCAAACTATGAAACAGCTTCATCAGGTAAAGGGAAAAGAGCAAAGGCAGAACTTTAGAATACCACTTTGTGTAGCAACGATATTTAAATTCACGGCAATCTATTAAAGACATTCAGGTACTCAGAGGGGCCCAGACAGTATCACCTTAGTTACACAGTTTCAGGACAAATGCCCAAGTATTTAAGGACATGAAAAGGAATCAATTCAGCTGCACAGAACTGTCCTCAGAACGTACGGGATATGTAGGGGCTGGGATTGTTTGAACCCCCAGGTCAGAAGGAACAGCACCAAGGTTAACAACAGCGGTTTCTCAGTGGTTTTTGATCACATCTTCAAAAACCATTAGGCAAAAAAAAAAGAAAAAAAAGAAGTATTTGAAACAAAAAGCTAAGTGATACAATGTGAAAATGGCAAAAGTACACTCCAAACAACTTTTATTGCAAGAAACAAAAAGCACACAACAACCTATACAAACATACATATTACTAGCTATAGACAGACAGATGTAGAACATGGCACCATGTTCAACTGTGCAAACCTCCAACCGCCAGGATCTGAACCCGAGCGCACAGAATCTGTACAACACAGAGTCATACAGGAATAGTCTATCATATGCAATAGGAAATACAATCCAGTACTAGCACAAATACCAGTATTCACATTAGAACTGTGCAAATAATGGCATTACTCAGTTTTTACTATGCTGAATCAAATACATTGTATTTACAACAAACACTATGTTTTACTGGAAGATAGATGAAGTTAATGTTTGGAAAATTAATACAAGGCTACGCTGTTTAGAATTCAGCGCAGTGTGTAGAAAAAAGGGTGAGATTGGGTTTTTACATACTGCTTCTGATGTTCTGCTCGCTGGCTCAGTTCGACTTCTAGAAGAAGAAATAAAGGTGATCAGAATTTAAAATAAAGCACTGGTACCCAACATAAAACAGTGAAAACAGATGATAAAACCTGAACATCAAACCATCAAGTCCCTATAGGCTAGGGAATGTGGAAATTTATTCATATACATAAATTGTTCTCTCTTGGTACATTCAGAGCAACTAAAACCCCACCAAATATCACATTTGTACTTTGTCAGCAATTACTCTGAGACTTACAGATATAGAACACAACAGTGCAAGAGGAAGTCCTCATTTTGTCTGCTACACAAGTATCAAAAATAGGAAGCCTGTATCACAGTTTTGTGTTCTTAAATAATCAACCCTCAAACTATCAACGTAACTTCAGGCAATCTGTACATCCCTAGGATTACAAACAGGTGTCACATACAGTACTTTAGTTTCTATGGCAGAACAGTGATAGTCCCAACACTTCAAAGGCAAGTTTACTCCAGTGAAAACAAATCAGTCATCTGACAAAGAAATAACAAAACTGTCAGCAGCTTAGTCTTTAGAACAGTGTTTCTTTGTGGAAGCCCAAGCACTGTGTTCAGGTATCTACCATGCTTAGCCGTGGAAGTGCCAAAGTACTAGACATGTTACATATGCTTTATTGACTAAAAATAGTAGTAGAAATGTCACCTGAAAGCAGTTTCTAGGGTTTTGTGCGATTTAGGAGTCCTGTGACAGAAAAAAAGGTCTTAATTGCCAGAATTTGCTTTACAATAATGCTGCGGTATTTTAAGAAATACTTATTCCATCTGAAAACTTGCTGCGATTCCACATACTCACTGACCTGCATCTATCTATCATGAGCCAGAGATGCAACCTTGCTACAGTTAACAAACAATTCACACATCATCCAAAGTGTCCCAGGAGCAGAGGCAATTCAAAGGCTGCTCTGGAATTCAGGTACAAACAGTAAGGCTCCTGTTTACATCCACCTACTTCCCAAAGGGAAGTAAGTACTTTAGATTGGGACACAATGGTTGTTTCATCCATTTACCTTGAAGAACAGACTACAAGGCAAGTAACTCGTTTTTAAATGCCTCTCCACCATTCCATCAGACTTTCAACTTGCCCAGGCATTAAGCACTCTACCAGCGGTCTCTGCACTGTTTCCAGATGAAGGAATAGAAAGCTGATCTGCCTGATACATTTTCAGTGCTAGAAGAGCAGTGCCGTTCTTTCCTTAGCCCCACATACAGGTATGTATTTGATCTTTGGTGCTAGCAGCATCTAGCCTCTCCTTTTACGGCAGCATTACAATACGAGGAAAGGGTGCCATCCACACGCCTATCAGCTTAGGGTAAAAACAGCCTTAGGAGGATAGCTAACAACTTTTGGTAATGTGCTAAGTTGCTTATTGGGTTTCAGGTTTGGAAAGGATTACCTATTCCTTCATTGTACTTGCACAAGAGGCAATACACTTTATGAGACTGTTCTTTTTCTCTTGCCCAAAACAGATACCGGCTTTGGGAAACTTAATAGGAATCACTTTTGAATGGAACTTCTTGTTTGCACGCTTTGCAGCTGGCAAGCGTCGGTCTTTCCTCCATGGCTAGTATGCAAACCCCACGCATCTGGGGCATAAGAATACCTGACGTATCCTGTCCCTCTCCCCCAAGTGCAAGTCAAACACTAAGAATCAGACTCTTCAGAGACAGGAGCAGGTTTTAAGTTTACACTACACTGCAGAACTGTCTTCGCTATAAAAGCCATAAAAGCAAACACATATAACAAGGAATCTCTCCACGCAGACAAAACAGGACCTACAACTTGGCTCTCAGAAAAATTAACCCCAAGAACAAACCCTATAGAATCATTTTAAAAGTTTCCATTGTTGGAGTTTGAACCCCATATCCCAGCAGGCCTAAAAACGTAAGTCTGCTTTGGGACCGACACATTAAAATCTACTCAGTGACAACAAAAACTAACGGAACCTTTAACAAGAAAGAAACAATCTGAATGCCTCATATGCATTGAAACTGTTCACACACTGAAACCAACAGCCAAGAATGCAATGCTGTGTGGACACTTACGTGACATCTGTTTTGCTGCTAGCTTTAACTCCTCCGGCAGGGATTCTTTTAACAATTACCAATGAGTTTTTAGGAATCAGGGCATCTTCTGTGTATTCTGAAACCAACAGAAGTACAGAAAAAGACATTCAAAAGGACATGTATTAATACATACTTAACTACACAGCGCTTCAGAGAAGGCCTTTACAGATACAGAAGCCAAATTTTGTACGTAACGTCGTGCTTTCATTGCCTGAACACACTAACAGTACCTTTCAAGACATTCTCAGGTTTGATAACCGAACACCAGCAGCTAAATCTTTTTCCTTTTTTTAAAAACAGTTTGAATGCCAATATTTTTCAAACAGGAAAGAACTAAAGCTGGAGTGCTGCTCCTGAGGTCCCTTGAAATTTGTGTTTGCTTGGTTTGAATTTAACAAATGCCAGCTCAGTCTAACAGTTCTTGGACTAAACTGGCAGCTCCCAGCAGGAAGCTGTTCCCTGCAGGCAGCAGCATCCCCCAGCAGAGACTTGGCAACCTCCAGGACCTGCAAAGCAGCGTCACTGCTTTACCATATGACTCCACATCTGCAAAGCCACCAGTGGCATCATGCTCAACAAGGCTACTCCTCACATTTGTTCAAGCTTCAACAGAAAGGGTTCAAAGTAGCTGGAGGCAACAACGTTACTGATTCTTATTCCCCTGACAGCATAAAACTCGTTTTACTGCCAGTGATGGCCAGTAAGTGGCACTGGGCTTTCATCAATCTGACCTGTGATTAAACATAAGGATTCAATTAACTCAGGAAGCTTACAAAGGCAAAGGAAGATTTGGATGCTAAAGTCAAAAGCAGAAGAAACAGAACAGTCTAAAGCCTGCTGTATGTTCTACAAGAAAGCAGTATGCTTGAAAGTCAAAGGAAAGCAGTATTTCAAGGAAGAAATGGAGGCAGACAAGAGCTGCCCTACACTGATTTAGAAATCTTAAGCCAACAATTGCGTTAGTGTCCACAACCTTCTTCCTGCAGCAAACAGCTCAGGTTATGCTCTGAAGGTAATACTGCTTCACATTTAATGCATGATTTAAAAACCCCACTTTTAAATTCAGCTGTAATTTTGAAAATCTGCTGGTTTTAGTACGGTGTGTCACACATTTGCTATGAACAAGGTACTGAAAAAGTTCCTACTTTATTTCATGGCCTGCTTTAATCCACCATTTTGAGTCTGACAGCGCTGCAAAAACACTGTCTACAGAAGTATTTTCACCCAGATACAGCAGACAAGAAACTCACTAAAACAGACATCATCAGAAGGCAAGCCTGGGTGTGAAACAACAAAGAAAAGCCTTTACCAGGCTTAGGTGCTTTGCAACCAGCTATTATGCTGCTGGGGGAATGATCTGCAGAGTAAGAGACAAAAATGACTACTCACATGCCAGACTGTCTCTGCTGGGGAAGAGAGTAACTGCCAAGCACACATTTTCTCTCCAGTGCTTAAAAATCTGCTTTCTCATGATGTACCTTTTTAACTCTGTTCTGCTCAGCACCAATGGGCCACTGCGACAAAGCTGGCACCAAAGGCACTGCCTTGAAACATCCCCAGTAATCCTGCCCAGACTGCTATTTCTGGCATTTCAGCTTCCACCGGAATAGGTATCAATGATCTCACCTACAACTGGGATATCATAATTCCTTGAATGAGCTAGTTTAGTAGGCCAAGCAGTTCATGGAACTTGCATTTGCATTACAATTATACAGTGCTGTGCTCCAAAAGAGCACCTATGTTGCTCTGAAAGGACAAGTCAACCAAATCTAACATACTTTCAATCTGATTACATAGACTGCTTGATGCCTTCAGGTCTTGTTGGCGCTGCTTGTTGCTTCAGTGTGTGACTGGGAAAGCAAAAGCCACGTTGGAAACAAGGTGGTCATGGACCAAACACGGCCTGCCCTAAGGACCTGGCCAAGGGATATCTGAGCTGACAGCACACGGCCAAGGTCCCAAACCCGCTGGTGACAGAGCCAAAGCACCAGGTGAGCTCCACTGGAACATGATGGGTTTTAAACAGGTACGTGACCTGCCGCCAACCCCACCAGGCAAACAGGAACTCTACATCCTTCCTGAAAGCTCCACAGAATAATGCTGCACGGCAGCCTGGGAATTCACCACACTGAGCTGGAACCAAAGCAATGCCCCAGACTAGCACTGCACCATGGAACAGCATAGCAAAGGGCTGGGTTTAAAACTTGCTTAAAAGTCTTCCCTAAAATGCTATGTTGGCAGAGTGCTGAAGGCATCCCAGCAGACAGACAAATGTCAGGTGCGAGACCAAGTGACTTCATTCACAGTCAGCATGAGCTTGTCTTGAAGACATCACATGGTGGCACTACTAAAACGGTCAAGTGCACACTCCCAACACTGAACTCAGGCAAGTTCTGAGCTCAAGAGACAAGTCTCAGAAGAGCACCCTTTGCCCTTCAGATGATTCCTCTAACACCAGTTCAGAGTCCCAGGTTTAGTTTTCTATATCATTTTGCTCGACAAGGAGAACAGCACACTTCCCAAGTGTTTTGAGTCAGAATGTTACAGGATTTGCAGTTCTTCCACAATACTGGGAAAGCATCTACTACAAAAGACAGGTCAAGGAATTCAGATTAAATTGAGAGAAGGGGAGTTTAAACCCATCACTCAATATACTCAGAATGAGTATCTTTTTGAAGGGAATTCTGCTTTTACAGAACATGCTTATAGAGTAAGCACAGAGGACACCCACCCAGTTAGACAGGCCCCAGCCACTCATTCTTTCCCAGCATCTTAAAAAGAGGCAAAAAAGCTTAAAATCCTGTTTACTTTTAGCTTTTATTACCACATATCCATCATGAAAAGTAACAGTTACTGATCCATAAAAGCTCAGAGCACTTGGAAAAACCAGAACAAATTGGTCATCTTCATTCAAGGTTCACTTTGTTCTTTCCAAGATCACACCAACATTCAGTCCAGACTCCTGCACAGAGTTGTGGTATGCCCACAAGTAAGCACTCCAAACATCCCACTGAGGCAGAATATCCTGGTCTAGCTTTTTTTCCTTTATCTTCTGAAGGAGAGTTTAGGCATCAAATCTGATTGATAAAAACTGAAATTCATGGTTATGCATATAAACCAAAAATTTGGCATATATATAGCGCTGAAATGTATTCTGCAGCCTTGCTCTGAAAACTACTGGGGGATTTTTGTGTTTGCACAGAGAAATGCCCTTACAAAAGCTTCAATAAGTAGCTGTGTCACTAGTCTGTAATTTGGAGTTTGATACTGATTTTTCAAAAGTCAAAGTGCAACACAACTGACCCAGAGAAGGATCCCGTCCCTGTTACACAAGAGCCATGCTCTTTGGCGTATGAAAGATATACCTTCCTTAGCTTCACCTTCAGGCAACATCACATGGAACAGAACCTAGTGAAGCAGATGCTTGCTCTCCACTGGATTCTGATTACGTAGAGAACCAAAGCAACAACCTCTGCTGAACTGCATTGTGGGTACTGGAGGGCCGTTTTACGGGGTAGCATATTTAAGAGCATGATTTTATCATCTATAATCTTTCCTTCCTGCCCCTCACCTGCTGTAACACTGGCCTATTTCAGAACATGTTTTAGTTCTGGTGATGATAACTGGGCTCCATCACAGTTCACCACCATCCAACATTCTGGTTTCAAGGCTGCTTTACCCAGCCTAGCCTGCTACAGAAGTGACGTCAGGCAGTGGCCATTCAGGCTGCCAGTGCTGGGATGCTGCAAGTACAGCAGTAACTGAAGAGAAACCCCAGAGTCCCCTCTGCAGCAAAGCCCTTCATGAAAGTTTTCAACAGCTCTTGACAATTTTATTCAGTGCTACTGGAATAATTCAAGACTTCTGAAGCGCATCTCTACCTACGCACATCACACAAGCCAATAGCATCCTTGAGGCCCCAAAGTTGTGCTGTTGAGTCTCTTCACAGAAATTCTCCTCAAAACAGTTTAAGGATCTGTAGATAAAGCATAAGCTTTAAGCCCAACCACTTTAAAGGCTGGGGCTGAAGTTGCAGTTACTGCAGCAAACACATTATTCTGTTTTAATATTTCAAGCAGGAAGAGGAGAAAAAAAAACCACCAGCACCTGTTTTAAAGAAAAGACTGTTGTAGGAGTGGCACAGAAGCACAGGGGGGGAAATGAACAAATGAAACCACTTTACAAGTCTTTCTATTTCTGAGAAGTCACTTCCCAAAGTCTTTAATCACTTGCAAATTTATCAACACGGCAAATGACCAATCTGAAATATCACAGTAAGAGGAAACCCTTATCATGGCTGAGAATCAAGTGCCATTTCTTAGATTTAAAAGAAGTTATGACTTCTGAGAACATTTCTTACGTATGTTCACCATAAATGCTCAGAACTCCAGGGCTGCCCTGACGTGGCTAACACACAGTACCAGGGGAAATAAAAAAACATGGAAAAAGGTTAGAGATGAATAAATGAATAATGAAATGAGGCTCAACAGCGTCTGAATGACAACGTCTTTGATGTAGAAAAGTTACAGTAACAAGAAATTCCAGAGTGTAACTGAGACACTCAGGTGCAAGATGGCTTTAAAGGGCCTGGAGAAATCTTAACTCACAGATAAACTCTGGATCCAAAACGCTGCTAGCCAGCACTTTCTGCAACAGGCACAAAACTAGTTTTCCCATGAAGCGTGGGGTAAAGGACGCTGAAAACAATACCGAGCCAACAAAACCACTTTTTTCTTCAAATCAGCCATCTCTTCTATTTCCACGACTATAAGCTTTCTCCTCCAGATTAAAAAGAAACCTGGCAGGTTTGTTATTATCCTCCTCCATTTCCGCATTATTTTTCCCAGAAGATTTCCAGGAAACCCAAACTTTGGTAAGCCCTGTATGTAGCACATCAACCACGTATTCCTCCACGCCTAGCCCCGCGTCCGAAGCGCGGAGCCGGAGGTGCTTGTCACGACTACAAAGGAACAGCTCCGCGAGGCCTCGACACCCGGCACCGCTACCGACCGCGGCCGAACCGCGTTATCGCTCCCACCCCGCTTTATTCTCGCGGTCCCTCCCGCCCGCCGGCGGGCAGGGCCTCGCCTCATGCTCGGGGCCTCGCCACAAAGCGCGGCTCCCGCAGGCCGCGCCGCCGCCCCACGCACCTTCTTTGGTCTGGGCGTTGGTGATCTGCAGGTCGCAGTCGGCCGCCTTCAGCTTCTCGCGACCCATGATCTGGCGCTTGAGGTCGCACAGGGAGATGTGGAGGCCGTCGAAGGTGACCGTGTCATAGTTGAGCTTGGACGAGAACTTGTAGTGCACGCACGACATGGTCGGAGCCGGGCCGTGCCCGCTCCTCGATGGCGCCGACAGCGGCCGTTGGCGGCGCGGCCTCCGCGCCGAGCTGGGGCCCACCGCGGGGGCCGGGCCGGGCCGGGCCGGGCTGTGCTCACAGGCCGCGGCGCTGGGCCATGGCCAGGCCGCGCGGCCTCAGGCACACTCAGCCGCTGGAGGCCTCAGGGCTCCATCGCGGCGGCGTGCGAGGCCCCGGCCCCCGCCCCCGCAACCACTCCGGCCTGCAGCGATGGAGCCGGGCCGCGGCGGCGGCTCCGGCCGGGCTCCTCCTCGCGGCGCTGCCACGGACCCCGCGGGCCCCGGCTCCGCTCGGGCTGCGCTCGCCCCTCCCCGCGCTCCCGGGCCCTCCGCTCGCGATGGCGACTCGAGCCCCGCCGCGTCCCGCCGAGGGGTTTCCCGGCCGCAACCGCACGGGCCGCCGCGAACGCGTCACGGCGCAGGCGCAAGGGCACGAGCAGGGGCGCGCCGCGCCCGCACACGTCCTCTTAGCCCCTCCCCGCGTGCGTGCCCGCCCCACGTGACCCAGCGCATTATGACAGCAGCCCACGCCCTCTCCGTCCGAGCGGTGAGCGCCCCCTAGGGGACAGTCGGTACCGGGACTGCCCCCCCGTGTCCCCCCAGTACCGGGCTTCTCGGTGCAAGAGGCGAGGAGCTGCTGGAGAGGGTCCAGCGGAGGCCACGAGGGTGACCGGGGTCTGGAGCATCCCTGTGCTGAGCGGAGATTGCGGGCGCTGGGTCCGGCTGGGGCAGGGCAGAGGGGATCCCATCGAAGCAGCAGCTCAAAGGCGGTGCCAGCAGCACGGTGCCAGGCTCCTTCCAGGGGTGCCCAGCGGCCGGACAAGGAGCAACGGCCATGAACTGAACCACAACAAGTGTGACCTCCACACGAGAGGAAGAACTTCTTCCCGTGAAGGGTGGCAGAGCCCCGGCACAGGCTGCCCGGAGTGGGGGGTGTGTGTGTGGAGTCTCCCTCTCTGGAGACACCCAAACCCCACCAATGTGCCCTGCTCTGGGTGGCCCTGCCTCGGCAGGGCTTGGACTGAGTGATCTCCAGGGTTCCCTTCTCCTCATGATGCCGTGATTCTGAGATGCAGTGGCTTTGCCGGGCGGTGCTTGGTGAAGGGAGGGAAGAACCCTCCCGGCATCCCATGAGCTTCACCCTCCTGCTTTGTCCTTGGGGAGCAACAGCAGCATTCCCCTTATTTCCCTCGCTGGTGAGCAATGTGCGCAGGAGATCCTGAGGTTTCCATTCCTGCTCGGAAGCAACAGTGTGACCCCATCAGAGGAGCAATCCCCGTGCCGCTGTCCTGCAGAGCTGGCAGCACCCGGGGCAGGAGGCACAGGGCACAGAGGACAAAAACACCAGGGGAAGATAAAAGTGCTCTGTCCTTGTGCCTGCATCTCAGAATGCCCCATGGGAACACAAACGGCTGAATTCCCCACTGCCAAATGACTGACACGCAACCGAGCATCACCCTGAGAGCAGAGACCTGACACAGTGACTGATAAACCAAACAAGAGCCGGTTTCAGTCCGCTGTTTCCAAGGGAAGAATGGTTCATCTGGATGAGAAAAAGAAATTGATTAGAACAGGGAACAGAACTTGAGCAGTAATAAGGAAGTTAAACATGTGCTAACAGCAAAATAAACAGCATGAGGGCAGAATAATCATTATCATCTTACAGTTTTCATTATGCAGGCAATGACTGTGACTTAAGATATCTATTAATGCTTTATTATGCAGATTATTGCTTTTTTAAAGGAGCTATTTGTTATTTCCACAAATCTATGACACACACTTCTCTTCCTTTCCAGGCATCTAAGCTTTTTATAAGACCAAGTCATTTATACTGTGCACATTTCTGTATGAACCCTCATTTTTCCTCTACCAGTTATCTGCCCACTAATACACTGCAGAAAAATAAGTTATACAATTAGTCACCTTCTTGTGGGCTTCATACTTCTATTCATGTCATGATTGAACCCCCAACTGTTTCGACTTATGTACTGGTTGCACGTCCACCCATTTATTCAAACTCCCAATCCATCACTTTACAAATGTTCATTTTCTAACCCTCTGGCCACAAGCATTTAAAGAGAAAACCTTTGGAACCTGTGTAGTGCTATTGCAAACAAACCAGTCCAATGACAAGTACATTGTTAAAGTGAAAATAGGGAAGGCTTGGAAAAAAAACACTTCTCATCTAAAATGTCTGTGAGACTTCTTATATCTGAACCCTACAATTGCCACTTAGGGTTTTCATCCCCTCCAGGGTAAAAGGATCTGCATGAACAAGGGTACCTGGAGTCTCCATACTGAGTAGGTTCTATTTAGAACAATTTGCCTGCGTTAGAGAGTGGGGAGGAGATTGACTTGGATTTAGTTTCAGTTGTCAGAGAACATCGTCATTCCCAGATTGCTGTTTCTTAAACCAGCTTCCACTGAGTACCAGGTGTATGTGCTGTGGATCACCCTGGACTGATGCGCTGTGAGTCAGCTATGGGCAGAGCCATACCATGCTGCACTGCACTGTACACACAGCACACCCCACGCCAGGGCTTTGGAGCTGGATGAGCTTTAAGGTCACTTCCAACTGAAACCAGTCTGGGATTCTGTGATTCAATGGAGCCCTGCCTTAGAGTCTGCTCACGCAGGCAGGAGCTGACACATCTGAGGTGACCGGCGGCTTTACACCTCCCGGTTCTCCACAGCGCTGCCCAGCCCAGGTTAATCCTGCTCCGAGTCCAGCAGAACCTGCTTGGTTGCTCCCTGCAGCATTTCAGCCGGAATGGTGATGATCTGCTCGAGCTAACACTGCTCATTCGAGCTCGAGCAGGACAAGGGGTGCTTCCAGGAGCAGCCCAGCCGTGGCATCGGAGCAGTGATCACTGGCAGGAGGGTGGTGAGAGCAGCGAAAGTCAGGGCAGCATCCGCACAGGAGGATGTGTGATCGCATCCCAACTACCCGAGATGCTGTCACAGCTTTACTTGGACAAATCCGTCTTACACCACAGGTTTGAAGTGCCCATTAAAGGATGTTTACCACGCTCAGCAGAAATACTCATGTCATAACAATTGGCTTGCTGTTGTAGCACGTAAGAAGGCGTTCTCTGCTACCCACATTTAGAACCCTAAAAACCAATTGGGACCTCCTAGGGAGGCACAGAAATACCCTGCGGCTTTCAGAGGGACCAGGGGTATGTTCTGAAAGTCATTCGAAAATGAGAGCAGCGTTAAGGCTTGGTGTGCCCTGAACACCTGCTGGCATCAGGACTGGCTTTGTGGCTTTAAGTTGGTTCTGTAACTGTAATTTAACTCTTTTGCTTCCAATGCACTCAGCAGCACGTTGCTGTCCAAGTTCTCCAAGGAAGTTAACCCAAGTTATGCTGTCAGTTTTATAGGTCATACACATTAGTTGAAAAAGAGCAATAAAGAGAAACTATACTTTAAAATGTGGTTTTGGTGTTTTTCCATTACAGATTATGAGGAGCTGTGTAGGGAACATCCTGTTTACCACTTTCTTGCTTTAGAAACAGCTTACCCATGCCCAGCTCTGCTGCGCTGCATCAATCCCCTCTTGCTGAGTCCCTGAAACGCACAAGTGCTCTGAGCAAGGGCTGGGCCAGGATTGTTCCTGGGGGCCTGCAGAGCACCTCCTGTACCGCTGAACAATAGAAAAAGCAGCCAAAAGACCGCTCAAAACCAGGAAGGGTGAACTATTTCTGGTAGCTTCTGAGCCCCATGAGCAAGGACACGCAAATAAGCAGGCTGGCACAATGGGAAGGTGTGTTTGTATTTCCTGCTTCGGTTTGCTTTGTTAGGAGCAAAGTGTTCTGTTTGCTTGTTGGTTTTTCCCTTAGCTGCGAGTTCTGCGCAGAAGAGGACCCAGCATTGCCACGAGCACCCAGGGGCTGAGCGATGGGAGCCCATAGACTGAGGGCACACGTGGCCGGTTGGGCTGGAATGGCCACATTGCTCTCCAAGGCATGGTTGTGAGGCTCAGAGTCATCAGTCGGGCTTCCAAGGTAGCACAGCTGCCGTGGGAAGGCACTGGTTAAAGTCAGCTACAATTAAGAATGACGATACCATTAGTAACTTAAATACCCAAAGAAAACCAATCCCAAACTCTGATTCCTACCTGCTCCTGCTCACTTGTCCTTGGCTCCTGTGCCTCCATGTGCACACACCGCAGACACACCAAACCCTGTCTCACCACCACATCACACCAACCTATTACCATTGATAAATCATTACATTTTGAGCACAACAATCAAAACTTGGAGCCTAGAGGGGGGTAAGAGAAGGCGTCTAATGAGACAAGAGGAACAGCATGCAAATGTCTGCACTTTGCATTGCTGAAGAATGGAAGCAAGCAGACCCTGGAACCAGTATGTGACATCTGTAGGCAGTCAGTGAACGCATTAGGGGTGGCAACACCTCCTATTCACCATGAATCCCAAATGCCAGCACAGCATGAAAGAGGGAGGAACATGCCTTGAGAGAGCCCTCTATGAAAACCCACCCCTCCAGGTTTCTTTCCATAGACAATAGTATCAGCTGAGAAGGAAACCCAGACTTTTGCTTATCTCTGCCACTGTGACTTGAGGAACTTTGTCAGAACCAGACCCAGGCTAATCAGAGCACATCCTCTTGGTTTTGGTTGTTCTGCCATTGTCCTGACCCAGGACTGAAACAAACCAAAACAGGTTTTCTGGTTTGGTTTGCCTCAGAACAGGCACTGCCTGGTGAACACATGGGAAGTGTGCTGATGACCCAGCTGGGGAGCTGTGAACCCTCCAATTACTCCCAGAACAACACAGAATGATTACGGGATCAAGAAGCAGAATTCCCTTATTTTGTGCCCAGCCTGAATCATTGCCCCTTCTGCTGGGAGAGTGAAGAAGGAGCTTGGCTGTGACATTTGTACCTGTGCCTGGGAACTGGACAAAGGCCACAAGCTCCTTTTCCTCCACAGCTGCCCAGTGGTTGTCCAGGATGGCCATTATCTACCTGTCTGTGCCCAAAGCAGTTACCCAGACGTGGAAGCTGGTTTTGTTAAAGCTTCACCTACAGCATCTCCCTGTCATCCCATAAACCACAGTCACCTTTACATGGAAAAATCCACCATGGTTCCAGGACAATCCATTAAAGATTAAGGATGGTGATGGCCAGGGCTGCACCACCAGCCAGCCATCTACAGCTGGAGTGATGCCCTGCACAGGGCACTGCATCAGGGTGCCGGTACTCAGATGATG